TTATACATTATTTGTTTTCTGTATAGATTTAATAAACAGTACGTACTTGTTTGACTACGGAAAAAAAAAAAAAAAAAGAAACTTATTTAATAAAATTATAAATAAAATACATGTAATTTTGCACCACGTCATGTATTTGATGATTAATGAATATTCGTTCATCATCAAAACATTTTTTTAAAAATATTACTCATCATATTTTAATGATGTTTCATTTATCTGTTTATTTAGTTAAAAATGATTTTTTTAATTTAAAAAATTTTTTTTATAAAATCAATGTTATCTATTTCAATTTATAATATTTGTTAAAAAAAAAACAAAAAGACCGAATTGCCAATCTTTATGCTCGAATAGCATTTTATTACCTTTATCTTTATTTTCTATCAAGAGAAAGACGGTTTTTACCAGTTGGGTGAATGCAATTGAACACATGGTTTTTTCAACGATGAATTAATTGGAAAGAAAAAAACCAAAACAAACAACATTAGTGTACTATCTTTTATATAAAATTGGAATACTGAATGAAAAATATTTTGACTGGTGTTTGCATTTCGACAAAAATCGTTTCCCGGCACAATAAATAAATAAATAAATAGATGGATAGGTGAATGAATGAATGTTACAGCAAGTATTTTGCTTTTAATTTCTATTTGACCAATTTGACGACCGGTAAAACTTTAATAGTTCAATTGTTTTATATTCAAGTGTAATTAATTACAGTATATCTTTATTTAAATAATGATATATTACATGCGGTAATGATGATTGGATGAGAGAAGAGGTAAAACAGAATCTTTGAAACATCGAAACGTAAAATGCGAAAGTTAATTTTTTTAAGAATCAAATTTAAAATTATCATTACACATATGCAGTATATATACCTCTTGTGATAGATATTGTGGGACGCATTATTAAACCAATAAAATTCAGAATAAAGTGCATCAAGAAAGATGCCTTTTGAATGGCTGATAAATAATAAGTCGTTTGGGCTCTGCTGTGCAATGGTAGAAAAGTAGCAAAATCCTGTTTTCACCAATTGATAATGAAATATTTAATTGAATGTGATGATGATTGTAACGGTTTCAGTGCAGGCAACTTATGCATCTCGATTTTCAAAGACCTCGAACCTCTTAAAAACAGTAATTTACGTAAATACGCGTCGATCGCGATCGCTCGTCGGAAGGACGTTGTCTTCGCATAATCTTTTTTTTTCCAAAGTGTCGTGCACATCTAACGGTTTTAGGATGCGAGACGTTTTTCATATTTCAGACTTAATAATTAGCAATTTGATTTGTTGCGTGCGTGCGTTGTTCTAATTTTCAACAGCTCACCCGTGTTCTGTTACCAAACTGAGCATGGTGAGGAAATCTCATTGTAAAATGTTCCCTCTGCATTTGGAAACAAAATAACAGTGAATGGTGATCCCATTGCAAACGCATAAATTCGGTTTTCGACGTCGTCCGTCACTTTCCATCGTGTGACTATTGTATCGCTCAAAGGGATGGGATGTCACCATATGATTGTACTGTACGAATACGTTGCTTGCACACATAAAGGTGATGGTTGTTGATCGATCACTTCTTTTTTTGTAAGCCATCATCCAAAGCCTTTGTTTGACGGAAATTCATTTGGACGTAAATGTCGTACAAAAATGCGATGTACAAATAAGCATCGACTTTTTGATAAAGTATAAATTAAATACCATTTTAAGTGCATAAATTTTGGCGGTAGTCATTCTTCATACGTACGTGGGTATCAACGGTGTTTACAATGGCCAACGAATTTATTGGAAATCATCCTATTTTTAACTGAATTCGTCATTTCTTGGTGAACACGTGTCACCCCTCTCATAGTCTACACTAGCTCACAATCAAATTATTTTGTCATATTAATAATGGTTGGGAATTTGATGTCCGATTAAAATAACGCAAGGGCGGGAAAATAAAGATGGACCGTGTCATTAAGACCCCCATTATGATTAGGTGGGGCGGTTTGCATCGGTGATTGGTCTTTCCTTTTTTCGAATAATCATCCAGGGTATTAAAACCATGCAGATACGTTACCGTACGGACGTACGCTTGTGCACATCTCTCTACGTACACATTGAAATTTTCAACGTGTGAAACTTTCTTCAAAACTCGGAATTTGAGCATATACGTGCATGAGCACGCATGCTAAATATAAAATGGTTAAATCAGAAATTTAGTGATTGTTCGTGTGCTACTATTATTTCAAATGAGTATCCAACTCTATAAATAGTGCATAAATACGTACGTTTAGTGATTCTATACGTAATCATTACAATAGAGTATAAGCCATATACTTGTATATTGTTTATTGTATTCCAAAAAGAACGGATAGGTCGGACCGAGGGATTTATTATAAATATGATGTGGTTCGCTGCTGCGGGAATCAGTTCACCTCTAGCCTCTCACCACAGTATCAACTACTCTTTGTTGTTTCATGTACATGTGCACTGTTGCGAAGAGTCGTGCAACATTGAGCAATCATTTCTAATTCCAACAGTCATGCGAAATAATTTTTAACAGAATATATTCATCTGCTCAAACTTCTGTCTCGACGTTTTTTGATTTCCGTTTTGTTTTATTTTATTCCTGAAAAAACGAAAATTTTTTTTTCATCCCACGTAAATTTTGACAGCCAAGAAGGCCAAGAAATAAAGTTGGTAACTAGAAAGAATAAGAAGAAGAAATACTAGATAGATAGACAAGACTTGTGAGAAACACGAAAATATGAGTAGAATATTACGCAGGCATTCATTGCTCCGATTATTTAGTCGAAGGAAGCAAGTGAATTCCGCCTGTCTTCCGGCGGATTGCCTATACGACATCTTTAACCTTCTCAAGGATGATATCAAGTCACTCCATTCTTGCATCTTGGTCAATAGACTTTGGTGTGAGATTGCCATTCCATACTTATGGGCACACCCTTTCACGCAATCAACTCCACCGCCAGCCTCGCTCGTGAACACATTTATCGCGAGTCTCTCCGATGCTGACAGACAAGAGCTCATCGAAAGGGGGATCCGAATACCTGCTCAGTACAGGAGAGCGCCGACTTTCA